GAGCGGCGGGGCGGGGCGAGGCGAGACGAGACGAGACCCCGAACCCCCCCGGGGCCGGTGTCAGCGAACCCCCCGGGGCTGGTACCGCCAGAAACCCTCGGGTCGGCACCGCTTTCCCCTCGGGCGGGTATCGCCGGCCCCTCGCTCCCCTCAGGCCGGCGCCACTCTGCCCTTAGGCCGGCGCTCCCAAACCCCTCAAGCCGGCGCCTCTCTGCCCTCAGGGCCGTGCTGCCGAACCCCTCAGGCCGGCACTGCTCCCCTCAGGCCGGCACTGCTCCCCTCAGGCCGGCACTGCTCCCCTCAGGCCGGCACTGCTCCCCTCAGGCCGGCACTGCTCCCCTCAGGCCGGCACTGCTCCCCTCAGGCCGGCACTCCTCCCCTCAGGCCGGCACTGCTCCCCTCAGGCCGGCACTGCTCCCCTCAGGCCGGCACTGCTCCCCTCAGGCCGGCACTGCTCCCCTCAGGCCGGCACTGCTCCCCTCAGGCCGGCACTCCCAAACCCCTCAGGCCGGCCCCGCTCTGCCCTCAGGGCGGTGCTGCCGAACCCTTCAGGCCGGCACTGCTCCCCCCTCAGGCCGCTGCCGCCCTCCCCTCAGGCCGACGTGGCGGCCCCGGCCCTGAGGGGAGCTCCGCGGGGGCTGCCGTCCCCTCAGGCCGGTACCCGCCTGCCCTCAGGCCGCTGCCGCTCGTCCCTGGGGCCGACGCGGCCCCCCTGGCCCTGAGGGGCACTCCGCAGGGGTGACAGCGCGGGGTGCAGGGCCAAACCCTGCGTTTCGCCGTGATTCAGCGGGACATGGCTCCAGGCGCTCGTCCCACCAGTGTCACGGACGGCCGCGGCGGGAGCGGTGCCATAAAGTTCCCGTTTCTAAGTGAAATAAACTTCTATTTATGCCTCTCTGAGCCAAAGCCCGGCGTGGCTGCAGGAGCTGCACGTGTTGCACACACGAAGGCGTGCAAAAGCGAAGGAAAAAGCGCCGATCTGGTTTTCCTCACACGTTGAGGGAGTCGGGGGAGTAGCTGCGAAGCCCGGAGTCGCTGCGCTGCGCGTCGCTGGGAGAGGTGGCAATCCTGCCCCCAGAGCTACCCAGGGAACACAAATCGCACTAATCGCATAAAAATAACTTGCAGAAACTTGTTTTCTTGCAGGGAGGGTGGGTGGGAGGGACACGACACCTCTTGCTGCTCAGTTTGGGATGTCGGCTTTCGTAACAGGCATGTTTCTCAACAAACCAAAGGATAAATAAACGTGAAGAAAAGCCCAAACCTACTTTGAAAAGGCAAATGAAATGTATTTTCATCCTCCTGGGGGTAATTAGTTTTATACAGCATTTGCCATTCAAATCCAAATCATTTGAATGCTGCCTCGTTACCAGCCGGTCTGGATCCCGTATCCTTACAAAGGACACAATAAGAGCTATAAATATACATTCCCCCTTCATTAATCATATGAAGTCTACCCATATATTTTTTGTTTCTTCCATCTCAGCTTGTTGCCCACTAAATTGTGTTTTTACAACACGCACGCTATCCCTGCTCATTTTATGATTGACTAATTGAATCGTCTCTTTCAGTGCGTAAATCATGGAGCGCCAGGGCTCAAGAAGTGGTAACTGGGAGATAACCTGCGGCACTGCACGATGGGAAACGCTGGTACATCCCCCTAAAATGTGTGTTTGTATCGCAAAATGCTTTAAAACTAGTTTAAAATCGTTTGTTCCAGAAAGAAATGGGTTTTCACGCCGGTAGTGCTGCTATTTCCGGAGAGTTGCCGGTGATAACCTCTGTGCGTGTGGCGAGGGTGTCCCTCTCGCTGCAGGCCCCTCTGGATTCCCCTGAAATTATCCCTGATCCAGCGGGATTTACAGATTTGTTTCTTTGGAGGCTCTTTGGGGAGGCAGACTCTTCGCAGCGTCCCCGAGACGCAGCGTGCGTTTCGCTGTGCGCAGGGACGCAGAGATGCGCGCGACTAATTAAACGTCGACGTGACTACCAAGTGCCAGCCAACACCAGTGTCTGAAGTGTTTTCTCGTGGTGAAACTTGCTTCATTATTCCATCATTTTCTTCGGTGTTTCTGCCGGGAAACGAGGGGTTTGTCCTCCACTAAAAATATCCTGGAGCCTTTTCACAATGATGAATAATTACCTCCCCAGAAGGGTGTTTGGGTTTCTCCTTATTACGCTTGCTGAGTTACGCCGATATCTGATATGCCAGAAGGACTACCAGCTACGAGCTGTAATTTATACGGAAAATGGAAGCACTGATTAAAAGGCAGGACTGGTAGTATAACTCCTATTAAAGCTGGTTAGCAATTCCCATCGTAAAATCCTACCTCCAGTCACTTTTAATAGTGCTAGGCTAACCACCGCGCTGAAATTTAAGCATCTTAAGTTCATACCTCGGGTTAAATTATAAATATTTCTTCTTTTGTTCCTTCTCTCGGGGATCTTAGAGGCTGAAAAGCGGAATGGTCACCTTGTCAGAGGTGTGTCCTCCAAACCCAACCATGAAAATCCCGGCTGAAAATCCCGTTTGTGCTGGGTGGGGGCTTCCTAGCGCTTGGCAGAGCGGTTCCCCAGCCCTTCCCTCCTCACCCGGCACCTCACAGCCCCGGGCTCTGGGAGTCGGAGCTGGACCTGCAGTTCCAGTTCCAGGGCTGCTCCGGATGGGATCGTGCCAAGTCTGAAGGCAGTAGGAAGGGCGAGAGGGGAACCTGTCCTTCCAGTCCTCTCGGGAAACGCCGAGCGGGAAGCTCCTTGAATAACAGGCGGTGAGGAGGAGAACTGGATGAAGGAGAACTGGATGAGGGAGAACTGGATGAGGGCCGAGTAGTCGGCAGGCACAAAGGGGCTGGGGAAAGACAGGTTCTCCGGGACGGTGAGTTGGGAAGGGAAACTGGGTCTGCCTGGAGGGAGGGATAAGGCAAGAGTCTGGAAGCCAGCCTGGTGGGAGAAGACTTGGAAACGGGCTGGGAATGGGAGAAAATGGCCAGGAAAATGACACGGCAGGTCTATAGAGAGCAGTACTTTCTCTGGCTGAGGGCTGAAGGAGAACTCGCTGGGAAAAGGGATCGGCTGGGAGAGCTGGAGCGGGGTGAGGGAGGAGGATGGGTGATCCCGAGGCTGGATGTGGGATGCAGCAAGGGCCATGGGAAGAGGGGATTCACTAGAGATGGTGGTATAGAAGTGGGAATGACAGGGACTGAGGAAGGGAGGCAGGGCAGGAGGGTAAGGATGTGGGAAGGGTGATGAAAACCACCCGGAAATCTCTCATGTATATCAGTATATTATATTATATACACATATATATCATAAATGTGCATCAGTAGATACTGGCAGCAAGTATCTGAAATGCACTGGGAACGTACCTCAAACCCTTCGAGCACTGGACCACACGCAAACTCTTACACAAGTTTCCACATGGCTGATGGCCTGTGTCAATGTCAGCACAGGATTAAATTGCTGGGTTGTTGGTTTTTTTCGGGTTATCTCTAAATGGAAGAGAAATACACGTATATAAAAACAACAATAGTTGGGCTGCAAAGTAAAACACTCCCAAGTGATGAAATACCAGAATAAAGGCTGCGAGTGCAAAAAGATACGCCTGGCTCAGACACTGAACCAAGGGCAAGGAACCAAGGTAAGCGCCTACACAATTCCACTTAATTTACTATAAAATCAGATGTAGGTACTTGACGTATCTTGTGGGGCACGGTGGGGAGAGCAAGCCCAGCGCCGTGGCTCAGGTGGGTGACTGCTCCTCCAGGAAAGGGCTTCAGCCTGGGGACTCCTGAGGGATGCAAAGCACAACACTCCAAGCAGAGCCACGGCAGCGATGCGCTAATTGCGCAGCCTGCCCGTCCGAGGTGCCTGATTTGACATTTTGAAGTTTGATTTGCAGAAGTGAAGAGCACTTGCGGATATATCTGCAGGAAATGAGAACTTATTCAACTTCTGACTAAATTGGATGCTTCGCCGCGTTATATTTTCTGACAAAATCAGGCCATGAGTGTTTCTAATTGGATATCTAAAATTAAAAGATATTTTTTTTACTATTCTGTCTGTGTGCCTAAGTTTCTCATCTGTTAAATAAGGGCAACACCAGTTCTCGCAACAGTGGTGAGAAAATGAATTAGTTTGTGCAGCGCTCGGATACCATAGTGATGAGTACCATGGAAAAGCCCAGGAGGAAATGAATAAATCTGTCTTCAGAAGAGTATTTGAATAGTGTGCAGTAAATAAAGCACGGGCCACATAGTGAACAGCGAGGAGAAAATAAAATTATTACTTAGTGAGCACAGTCTATTCTGTACAATGAGCGAGGCCGGGAACCTGTCGGAAGAAACAGCGTGTGATCTAATTACAATTAAATAGTGTATCATAATGCAAATGCACAAGAGGGACAAATTACAATTGCACGGGCCACCCTCATGTCGGCGTTTCTAAACTTCTAAACTCTTGGATTAAAAAAAAAAGCCAAACCAGCACCCTTAGGCTGCAGACATGTAATATACATGTATGAATGATTCCCTCGCCCTTTCATAGTTGGAGACAATATATTTGCCTCATCTGCCTCTGCCACGGCAACACGGTTGAGTGGAAGAAGTGTTCTTTCTTCTCTTGGAGACACCCCAGCCTTACAGCCAAGATGTAACGCTGTCATTCACACACTGACACTGTACAGTTGTAAATTCAAAATTTACCTTCTTTGGGAGTCCATGCACACTAATGGAGACAGACAGTACTCCCCAGAGAGGGGTCCAGAGGAGGACCTTCATTTCAGTGATTAAAATTCAGTCTTTTGCTTGGGGTGCTTCATGTTTCAAACCAGCCCACTGGGTTTTGGTGCAGAGCAAGGGTATGGAACAACGACAGCTTCACGGATCTTGTGTGACACCTCGGTCCCAAAGCGAGCACGGAGCCTCTCCGACTCCTGCTGGGATTTGGAGCTGCTTCAGAGCTGCTGCAGATCCCACCGGGTTATCTGTGGCCCACAAGAAGGGTGATGGAATTAGGATCTGGCTGCTCGGTGGCACTCTGGCTGCCTCCACTTATCTGATGGCGATTCCTCTATTGCTCAGCAGGATGCGAGGTGACACTGAGTCATTACACCAATTTATTGTTATCTAGAGAATTTCCCGTTGCTGGGCATCCTCTAGCAGCTGGTTAAGGCAATTTGGGGATAGGAGCCAAAGAGCTGGCTCATTGAGTTTAAGAGGCACAGCGATGAGATACCTTCGGGATAATCTGCTGCGCTGCCTCCCTGGTGTATGAGGCATCGGAGCACGTCTGGGAACGGTGACCTGTCTGGTCACTCCTGGGTAGGTCTCCATACTGATCCCAGCCCAGCCAGGCAGGCTGTCTTTCATCATTCAGTAGGGATTAGATATTTTTTTTTAGTTTTTTTTTTTTAGTTTTTTTTTTTTAGTTTTTTTTTTTTAGTTTTTTTTTTTTAGTTTTTTTTTTTTAGTTTTTTTTTTTTAGTTTTTTTTTTTTAGTTTTTTTTTTTTAGTTTTTTTTTTTTAGTTTTTTTTTTTTAGTTTTTTTTTTTTAGTTTTTTTTTTTTAGTTTTTCATATTTATTGGTCACAGATGTGGTTTTGCAAACTGCTCCGAGGTTAAAAGTCACCCTCCTGACTGCGCCGAGCAAATTCTAGGTTAGTGGGCCCTTTGCCCAGGAAGCCTCTAACCCCAGCACATATTTCTGTCATTCCTGATGTCAACAGCTAGACAATTCCAACTCCTCGCTGGAGTCAGGGCGGGCCATAACTGGAGGCAGACCTTCCAATAACTAAGGTTAGTTCCCTGGGAAGCCTGAGAGGACGATGGAGCTCCTTCGCTTGAGTCAGTGTTTAGCGGGATCTGAAATAGGAGCGGAGCAGTTGGTGTGAAATGCTCTTAGAGGTTTCAGTTGCTGAGCTGAGTGGAGGGAGCTGCTGAGGCCTAATCCAATGTTTGTTTATTTAGGGATTTCAGAGGTAGATAGAGGGAACCTAGAATCCAAAATGCAGTGTTTACCGAGTCCAATCCACACTTTAAAGGAAAAGAATAATTTATTTGTTATTGGAATGTGCATAATAATGTGGGATGTGGCTGTCTGGGCATTCAGGAGCAGAGAAATCCAGGTAACCCCCAAGGGGAAAGCCTGGTGTTATTGCAGCCAATGGGTTTTTTTGCTATCCATTTAACCAGAGTGAGATTTCATCTCTGGATGCCTGTCACGGGATGACACTGTGCCACAGGCATTCACAGTGGTATCAGGAACACTTAGTTTGGTGTTTTTCTCTCTCTTTTGGTGGTAGTCGTATAGTCTTTGTTCTCAGGTGAGATCATTACTGAAGGCACACTGAAAATTGACTCTCCATTCTTCTTCCCCACCAGCAATGCCCTCACTTTCCCAGTGTCCTGCTTCTCACTGAGGTAACTCCTCTTTGGGCTGAAAGAGTCTTGCACCCCCAGTGAGAGAGGAGACAGATGGCCCATGCCCTCTTGCGTGTGAACAGGATCAGCCTCCTCTGCAGCTTAAAAATCCACAGAAGCCAGAGGAGGATTCCAGGTGGTGTTTATCCCAAAGCATTTCCAACAATCCCACAAGAATGTTAATTACTGACACCAACAATCTTGTTCTCATTCATATAATGGGAGTGCCTGAAGCTCTTACCTGAGGTTGAGTCCTATTGTATTAGACCGGAGAAGGATCGCGCAACAAAAGCAGATCCTTTCCCCAGAGAAGTTGAGCCTGGCAGGAAGTTAGAAGGAAAGCACAACCATGGCAGGTGGTTCTGTCACCAGAGGCATCACAGCAGGTCCACATGGCACATCTCCTCACTCCTGGTGCTCCAGTGCTGTGTAAACCCTCCCGGTGTCCGCGCCAGCGAAGGCAGGGATGTCAGACCACAGCAGTCTGAGAGCAAACCAAAAAAGAGAGGAAAAACATGGAGAGGAGAAAGGCTAAAAACAAAAGGAAGAGAACTGATACCAAGCACAGAGAAACAGTCATTTGCCTGTTTGAAAATAGTGGCTCAAATATCCCTCTGCTGTAACTGGCAGAAACTGGAGGCACAGGGTAGTTTTAGAACCTTGTGACAGAACAGTAACTATGAAGAAAATTACCTTAATCCACTAATTTAAGAGTTCAGAAGCAGCGGCAGCCGTCAGCACTAGGATGTAGTGAAGACAGGGATCTGCAGAAATGGGGAAGAATGCTGACGGGATACAGAGGGACTCCTGTTTGCTGTAACGAGCATCTTGTTCATACCCTTCTCAGGCAGCCCTTCAAAGTTAGAGTTTTGGGTCTGCTTCCTCCTGCTGGAATGTTCCTCAAAACCTCATCACCCTTTCAAATGCTGGGAAGGAATTTCCTATAAATAAAATGGATTTTTCATGGAACAGATACTGGACTTTTTCGTTTTTACTGCGTTGCCTGAAAAAAGAACAAACTCAAACAGTTGTAAAATTAAATATTTCAGAGCAGATCTTCAGGTTCATGTATCAGATGCTTTGAAGACCTTACTGTGCAGCTTTAGATGTAAATTTATCTATAATAAAATTACCTATAAAAGTGCATAAACCTAATTTGACTCTGTCCAATAGGTTACATGTTACTGGATATCAACACCTCGATACCAAAGCCATAAAGCAACAGGTCCAAAACCTCGTTTAGATGCCGTTTCTACTCCCCAAGCTCATAAGATGCCACTGAAGGAGTCCTGGAGGACTCCTCTTTTGCCAGTGACCTCCTGCCACATGATCTGTGCACCATGGCCATGGTGTCACTCAAAGCACCTTCCTGCCAAGGGGGTCCTGCTGCAGCACCCGGGGGGCACACTGCAGAAGGCCAGAGAAGACCTGGGTTATGTCTTTCCAAGAGGGCAACAACATTTGCTACGGAGAGAAACAAGCTTCCATTCCCAGCAGCTTCTAGGCTGAAAGCAGAGCTAAGCCTTCAATCATTCCGCATAAATTTTATTTTTAAATCATTTCTAGCCTCTTGCAAATTTTAAGCATCTCCAAAAACAGGGCAAATGTGCCAGCATTTCTTCCAGCAGCCCGACGGCTTACCCCCATTAGTGCTGCCTGAATCTTTCTCAGATGGCAGGGCTGAGCAATTTGGAGACACAAGGACAGTTTAAAAAGAAAAGAGTCTATTTTGTGCTGAGGAATGGTACCGCGCTGACAGCTCTAGCAGATAAAACGTGGGTAGCCTTCAAATAGGTAAAGTGTTTTACTCGCTAAAGCTGTCAATCTGGCACTTCTCACACACATTAATTTTACTTTTTTTTTTTTTTTTTTTTTTTTTTTTTTTTTTTTTTTTTTTTTTTTTTTTTTTAAAAACCCCTGTGTGGGACACTGTCT